AGTATTGCTTTGTTGTTCGATAACAGGATTGGCAAATGCTAGTGCAATTTGGAACCTACATACCATGAATTCCATTCCTAGGTACAACAACTATGAAGTTAGTTGACGAACAATATGTATTACTCTCTCAAGTCTCTCTTTAGCTAGATTGTAAGGAAAAAATAGAAACCATCTACGACACACATATCTATACATATTTCTTTGTACCTAGTACCTACACATCAACTACATAGGTTACTTGTTCCATCTAAATTTATGTTCAGAGACAAAGTTTTCTAAGTAGAGGTTTGTTCTAAGTAAGTAAGAGTACCTACAGACTTGTTCTTTGTAGGTACTCGTCGAGTGTAATTTCAGCAAAATTACTTTTAAACACGGCAATTACCTTCACATGAAGTTTGAAGTTGTTTCATCCTTAAACTTTGCACAACATACTGCGTAGTCAAATTCATTTTTATAACGATTTTAATTAAAGTTTGGAGTAATTATTGATTGCGCAATTGTGTTGGAGTGTGTATAAAAGTTATAGGGTATAATCAGGTTAGTAATTAAAACCTTATTAGTTTATCTGATATAGACGAAAAGATATAGACGAAAATTTATATCGGCTATTGGCTACGTACTAATATATGGCAACAGGCTTTTTAGTATTTATTTTTGCCAGAATTTATATTTTCTGAAAGGTATAACCTGGGTGTCTTCAAGGCCCGAGTGAATAGGTTGCTTATGGGACGACGTGGTCCATCGTAGACAGCATCGTCGCTTATCACTAGGCGAGATAGTGGTCAAACGTCGGCCTATCTAGTATAAAAAAGAGCTTCGTACTCATATTTAAACCACAAAACACATAAAAATTAACACATTAATAAGCATTACTAAATTAACATGAGAATTAAATTACTTACTCAACATTAAGTATTTAAAACTTACACAGTGCTTGCCAAATATTTATTTATAAACGCTGCTTCAAGCGGTCTTAGGACTTTGGGAGTTCTTAAACGAAAAGTTTCGAGTAACCACGCCGGCTCGAGACACAAATTAATAGTTGTTCAACGTATTGTTGTTTCAAAATTGGTACTTTAATCAATAATCTTCCATTCCCTTAGACTTAAATAAATGATTCGATCAAATTGTAATGAATGCGGTTAATTATCCAGCGACGTTTGTAGGAAATACTATTATTTGTGCTAACAGGATAATTCTGTTTTAGGACCAATTTTTCAATGCTCAATAGGAATTTTAACTGAGGAACAACTTTGAATATTTGACAATTCTTCCGTACTACATCTGTCAAATGTCGATTTTATTCTACAGTACAGTACCAACGATCCTCAAACTCCTAATCCCCAAAAGGCCGGTAACGCGCTTGTAACGCCTCTGGTGTTCCAGGTGTCAATGGGCGACGCCGATTGCTTACCATCAGGTGATCCGTGTGCTCGTTTACCGGCTTATGCCATAAAAAAAGTTAAGAATTAACTGATGATTGAAAAATCGGCACTTAGTTGGGTATTTGTATAAGACGTAGTTTATTTAATGTTGTGATTAGAGTTTAATTGAGCAAAAATGTGCGAAGATTTGTTAATATTGCCCGTACCTATTATGTGGTTTCTTTGAATTGACTTTATGTGCATAACCATACGTATTAAAATACAATAAATTTGGCTCATATATTACTTTTACGAGCCTTGAGCAATGAATACACTATTTAACACGCACATTAAGAATTAAAGAAAATACAACGTGCTAAAGTAATTACAACATAATTACTTTTTAAAATTAGTTTATCTATTAACAAAAAATATATGTAGAGAAAGAAAAATACCAGTCAACTATACGGCCAGAATATAAAGTGAATATTTACGATACTAAAATATTTCCACTGGCAACTCAAACACAATATTGTCTAGTTAATAATTAATATATAATTTACCACCCAACAATGGGTTGACTGTTTACTTAAATTATAATTTACGAATACTCTATCAAGAATTAAACGACGCTGGATATGAAATTGAAAATTATTAATATTTTTACTTTTTATTGAGTTAAAAATGACAAAGGTGTTTTTTAATCTGCAATCTTCAACACGCCTGTCAGACGTTGAGATTGTGGTAAACTGTTTCATGTAGAGTCGGCTGATAGAACAGCAGTTGGACTAGTAAGAGATGTAGATCTATGTGAAAAAAATGTCATGATGAATGATCACTCAGATTTGTCTATTTTTTTCTATTTGAAATAGTGTTTTTTAACTCTAGTTAAAGTAAGTAATTTTATTAATCTAACCTTTTATATATTTATTCTTAAATGCTTGACCATTTAATCTATACTTTCTTATAATAAATTTTAAATAGTATTGCTTTGAAAAAATCTATTTTTTAGGGAATACACCGGTAAACGAGCATACGGATCACCTGATGGTAAGCAATCGGCGCCGCCCATAGACACCTGAGACACTAGAGGCTTAAGTGCGTAAGGAATTAGAGGATTGGTGGGTAAATGCCATTATCCTTTTTTTGAGAAGGAAAATCATCCATGACATCTCCCGCCTTGAGTTAGGCGAGAGGGAGTATCAGACTCTAACTGACTAAAAACCACCCTGTTCCTACCTGCTCTTCGAGCTGGAGCCCTGGCAACCCTTAGGCCTTCCGCGGCTCCGTATCGGGCATCAGCCCTACTAGGCTCCATCTGTGGTGGTCTGTGAAACGAACAGCATTATTGTGGTAGGTTCTTGTCTGACGTGTTAAACAAGGATCGTTACTGAATGCAAATCCATGGATATCCAACCTACCTTGAATGAGGAAAAATCTAAATAAACGTAATTATAATAAAAAGTTTACGATGGGATTCTAATTCTTTCTGTTTACGGTTTTTTGCTTTTTGTATTTAACTTACTTTGATTGAATTTTGACGTAATTTAAGGGAAAAAACTTTTAAATTCCAAGGTATATTTTGTTATTAATTAAGTCGATGGCATCATTACCTACCTGTAAATCGACCAAACAGTTTTAGTTTTATGTTTTGACTGTAAGTAGGTAAATACAATCTCAGAAAGATATTTTTAAAGTCTACTGCTACTATTTACGTAAAACAAAGTTCCGTTCTTTGTTTTATTAATCTTGGACTATCAAGCTGTCCGAATTTAATTACACCGTAGAGGTGTCAACGTAAAACAATCTGTAATTAACAAACTATAGGTTCTGATAACTAATAAATAATAATTACACATTTCAATTCCTTGAAGCCTTTTATCTTATAAATATTTAAACAATACAAAGACTACATAAGACGCTGAGAATTGTTGGTTAATATGATTAGATTGTTCGATTAAGCAACATGGAAGATAAGCTAGCATATATGGGAGTAAAACCACATTTGAAGAACCTAAACTTTTGTGGTTTCTATCAATTAGATCCGAATTCAGCGAAAACGAAAAGAATCCTGCACACCGCCTTTATGAGGCTAATATTCTTTCTAATTTTGCTGTATACGGGTCAACAAATTATTAAAGTTTACCAAGTAAGTACCTACCGGCTGGGATATTACTACGTATTTTCAGTTTTTCGGGCTCACAAAACTAGGTAGGTATCTATTATAGAGGTCAAGTCTCCTGGTTGTGGTCCTCCGTGTATAATCAACTCAAGGTCACATTTTTCCGAAGGACTGTGGGTTACATAAGGTACCTAGATAAGTACATTACTGGACCGTGGATTAAAATTGTTCTGTGCTCATCTAGTACTATTTTTAGTGTTTCATAACCCTAAAAGTGCTAAAGGAATTTTGTTACTAATGAGTATCCGTTGTCTGACTATCTGTCTATTACAAACACAATATACGGGAGTGAATTGACGTTCAAGCGTAAAATTTAGATACTTTATGATGAGGAGTATTCAAATCGCCCCCATGTATGTTCTATGTACAATTTTGCGTGAGTAATTTTCGAGTGATATTTTTTTAATAACATTAGTTTTTGGCTATTTTTCGCATTCTTTTGGTTGTTTCTGGTCCAGTTGTTTTGTGATAATTCACTAACATAGTCTAACCTAGCATCTTAAAAGCTATGCTATGGTTTGCAGAATTTACTTAGAATTTGTTAGAAAGTTCAAAATTACGATTTAAGCTCAGTACACATAAATATTAGGGACAGGAAAATTTGCATTTTTTTTTAATACTTTGTAAATTTTACACTTAAACGTCAACTCCCCGGCCACCCGATATTATAGGTATTTTGATTTTTATTGTATTAGTTCTTAATAATTCAGTATCTAATTTTCTACAATACAAAGAAGCATTGTTTGTAATACTAGGCAAAGCCTTCATTAAAATCTTTTTTATTTTCTATTCAGAAAATAATGTTGTTAAGTTTTTTCTCCTAAGAAGTAGACTAATTAGTAGCATGTAGAGGCACCTATTGACAAACACGTGTCTAGTCTCCGTCATGAAATATTCTTAAAGTTAGAAACCACAAACTCGCTTCAGCATCTTCTTCAGCGTCTTCTTTATAACCATTCGTTTTAAAGGGTACTATTAAACATATGACTTCTAGACTGGCTCGTTAGACCTGAACGTACGCCGCGTCACGTTCCGCGTGCGCCTCAAGAAGCTATCAGATCACCACCGATGAGGCCCAATAGGGCTTATACCGATACGGAACCGCGGAGGACTTAACGGGTTGCCGGGGCTTTGGCTCGAAATGCAGGAGTAGGAACGGGGTGGTTTTTAGAGTCTGACTCCCTTTCGCCTCACCCGGGCGGGAGAAATCATTGGATGTTTCCCCCCCTCAAAAAATAAGACAGGCCCGTTAGAAATACTATGAGTCTATTAATCACACAGCTATGGAAACAACTAAGTATTCTCAGTATTTCTTAGCGTGATCGAATCAAAAATTAAGTTGCTGTCATAGCCCAATGGACTAGCAAGCTAAAGCCTAGTTAGCCCACTCACTTATATTACAAAAATAAATCTTTACACATTTTTTCCAGGATAGAGATGATCTAAATAAAGTAATGGATACGATGTTCTTGTTACTCACTAATTCTGATTCCATCTACAAACAAATTGTCCTTTGGAAGAAAGCTAATCGCATTGAAATACTTTTAAATATAATGAAAGGTAATGCTTTCATATTTTATTTAGTACAACTTCGTGTTATTAAATAGCTTCTCGTTATCTTGTTTTTCTTTATATCCGTGAGCTTTAGATTCTGTTTTGTTTTACACGACATATTTATTTATGTGTAGGGTACGAACTCTGTTTTAAGATTGAACTTTGAGATAAAAATTGTTTCCATATAAAGTGGTAAAACCATGATCTTTATAATAAATAGTTATCACTGAAATTTTAAATTTTTAAAAGTTTAATAACCTACCAATATTTCCTACAGGTCCAATATTTAATCAGAAAAAGTCGGAGCATCGAGAGTATCTGTTAGCGACCGCCAGGCAGGCAAGATTACTGCTACGGGTATTCAATACCGTGGCACTATCCACCTGCTTGTTGTGGGTTCTATATCCAGTCATACTATATGTGCAGAGAAAACCCGTCGAGTTCGCAATATGGTTACCCTTTGACGCTAACCTAAGTCCGCAGTAAGTTCAAATTTGCACGTAAAACGTACATTTTGTACCCTATACCTACTCATTATGTAATACGTAGCGTATCTAGCGTCGGATGGTAAAACTACGCGGCCTTCTACATTAATATTATCATAATTTTGTCCACCTAGGATTATATTGGGTTACATTACATTTTTTACTTCGTTCTATAGGTACTTATTATGAAACTAATTGATTCTGTGGTTCGGTGTCTAGAGAATATTATGAACAAGTTGTTAGTCTTTTAAAAATGATCTTTCTTGGGCTTCAGATTACTAATAACTCGTAGGTTATCAAATATTAATTTTATTAGTAACTAGCTTCTGCCCGCGACTTCGTATGCGTAATCCCATTTTTTCCCGTCCCCGTTCGTGATTTTAGGAAAAAAGTAAAAAAATAAATTTTTGGTTAAAAAGTATCCTATGTCGGTCTCCTGGCTCTAAGCTACCTCCCTAAAAATTTTCAGCCAAATCTATTCTGCCATTCCTGAGTTATAAGTAGTGTAACTAACACAACTTTCTTTTATATAGAGGTATATAGATAAGTAATTATCTCATAACTGATGAAGAAACACCAAAGGAAGGTAAGTTAAGAAGGAAGATTATGCCTACATTATTATTTGAATCGACAATCACAATAGGTACCTACTACATTTTACATTATTAATAGATTACCGATTTATTCTCTACAGTAGGTACTAATCGTTCAATTCGATTCGAGCACATACCTAAATAGATTTCATGATTGAATCAATTGTTACACTACTATTAGGTACCTAGATGTCAAATTATTTGATACAGTTCAACTATTTATGGTCACAAATGTCTATAAAAACGACTTTCTAGAATAAATCGTAGTCTGTGGCATCATTTAAAAAAAGTATGAGCCAATAATCAATTTACGAAGGTGCAGCAACGGTGAGAACCGTTATCGTCCAAATGCGATCAACAAAGTGCTTTTCAATGAAGGTTTCAGTGTTATGGCCGTTCATTGAGGCGGTCTAAAGAGGCTAATGTCCTGCTTCAAGCCTTCATTGGCTAATAAGCTTACACTATGAAGTGTCTAAAGCTTAAGTATTTTATTCAAAAAATATTTTTTTATTTTTGAAAAGTCGACGTTTGACCACTATCTCGCCTGGTGGTAAGCGATGATGCGGTCTACGATGGAGCACGTCCTCCCATAAGCAACCTATTCACTCGAGCCCTGAAGACTTTGCACTCTGGCAAAGAATTCCACTCCCTGTGGTGTGGTGGGACATCTATCATGAATCGGTGACGTTTCGCCAATTGTCTTGTGGTACGATAATGGAAAGGACTAGGGGGAATCAAATTATGCAATCCCCCGCATACTCACCGAAATGTATCTGGTAGAATACCGAAAGACTTGCAACCTTACGCCTGTGTTCAAAGATCGGCTTTGAAGCCGGGCCTCCAGAAGCGCATCATCGTTAATGAGCCTCTTAGCACACCTCTCGATGTATTCTAACGCGTCCAGCTGATATTTAGCCGACCAGTCCCAAAGATGAGAACAGTACTTCATACAAGACCGAACCCGTGCTTGGTACAGGCTCAGTAATTGTTTCGGTGTGAAGTATCGTGTCAGCCTCCATATGACACTCAACTTCCTACCAGCCAGTTGCGCTTTCGACTCTATTTAGGAGCTAAAGTTGAGTAGGAATCAACGGAAATTGACTCCGTTTGGACATTGGCCTGTACTTGTATTTCTATACATCTAAAGGAACCAAAATAAATAATAACGGGTATAAATACTAAATAGTACGTCACTACAGTGCTAATAGAATCCTAGTCCAGTTTATACAATTGTAAAGATGAAGTTAATGTAGTGATAATTTATTCATCAACCGAAAACTCATAAAATTGTCCTCGATAATTATTTACGAAGGTATTCAAAGTGAGACATAATTCTTGGTATCAGACATCCAATTGTGAATAACAATCTACATAGACACCATAATCGTTTAAAATCTTCTTGTCAACAGATTCTACTTCGTAGCATTTTACGTGTGGGTACAAACTTCTTGGCTTGCGTTCAGCAACACAACAATGGATGTTTTTATCACATTTTTTCTCACTCAGTGCAAGACACAGCTCTCTATTCTCAGGTGAACGATTCTCTAGATGTAGTTTATAGGCAACCGTCAGAAATAAAAGGTTAACACCGAATGTTTATGCGTTCACTTTGCAGGTTAGATTTAGAAAACATTGTTCTGAAGAGTAAGGAGGAAGCATTGGAGTCGGGGAAAGATTTAAACGTTGTTTTGGAGCGAAGATTTCGAATTGTTTTGTTACATTACGATGAAATTATTAAGTAAGTTATGATTTACATTAGTTAGGTAGCACATTTCACCTCTTATCTATAAAACGTAGGTACACTGAAAAAAATGAACACCAACTAAGATGCATTTTCTCTTAGTTGGCATAAAAATGTTTAGAATAATTATTTATTTTGTTACTTTAAACAATAAAGCTTAGTTGCCAGAACAAATTCATTTTATTTAAGTCGACAATTTTGCACATGAACAGTATATTGAACTGACTTTGTTACATCACACATGCTTTGTTCGATTTTACTACTCCACTTTTATAAATCAAATAATAATTTTAGTTCACGATAACAAGCAACTTGTTAGCAATATATATAAAATATCGTAGGTTTTAACAACGAGCTTAGTTGATTAGACAGCCTGCATAGTTAAATCAAACAAGAGAAGTGGTTGCATCTAATAACGCTTTGTTGTGTCAACAAAACGCAGCGGCCGGCCGCCCCGCCAAAAACTTGTCAAACTTGTCATTCTCAACTCATTATTATAATTCATTTGAATTGAACGCGTACCGACATGTAGAGGAAGACTACCGTGAATTGCATTTGATTAACTAATTCTAGTGAGTGAAAAGTATGGACGAAGTGGCAGAGTTATTAAAAACGTGGGAACTGTCCGATCTCATCCCAAAATTTGCAGGTAAGATAAATCTTGTAAAATATATTATAGTATAGTTGCAAATAAATTATAATTATACATAAGTACACACTGATTATTGTAAGTATTAAACTCCATGAAACTATTTTGTATAGCTTCAAGGTATACATTCTTTTACCTTTGTTTTAATGGTAAATAATACTTACATTGATCACTTTTAAAAAATGTTTAGCATTTAACAACAAAACACTTCAATAAGATGCTTTATGTTGTATTAGTACCTATAATTATAAGTAGATATTATGTTAGTTATTTAGTAGTTAGTTAATATTATGTAAGTAAATTACCTACTCCAGACTTTAGAAAATATTTTGTTTTACCCAGTGACTTACTTGTAAGAACTCAATCTCAACTCAGAAATAAAACGATGATTATTTTGATATTCTTCGATATAATTTTCACAATAAAAATATGAACGTTCCGTTCAACGGTTCAAATTCAAGTGTGTTCAAAATCATATTTTCCAACTAAACCAGTTGAGGGTAACTCTTCATTCATTCATCTACCTTAACATTCGATTTGTCAATTATTACTTTATAGTGGCGGGTATCTGTTAATGTTACCATTACAAGAATTTAGGACTGTTTACATGGTTATGACAACTGACAGATACCTGCCACTTTACAAACAACAACAGTTGGGTATTGAGTGAATAATACTGTTAGCTTTACAATTCGGCCATCCTTCAACAAGTGAGTCCTCTCACTTCAAGAAAAAAAAAAAAAAAAATATTCTAAAGTAAACATCTTTAACATTTATACAATAATAAATCTCTATATTAATTTAGTTACATGAACATGAATTTATACATTTTTATATACAATCACAGACAACTATATTTTAATTTGTAATTCTCATCACGTATGGTCCACTATGATAGACAATCGTTTGTGTGATTTCTGTACTCGATATCATTCGTTTCTGCACCGATTGCTCATAGTCTATGCTGACAGTGAAACTATCTTAAATACATTCGTCTTGCACGATCTGCTATGGTCTACAATCATTCGTACGATACCAATTACTAGATATCATTCATTTCTGTACTGACTGTTCATAGCCTGTGCTCATAATAAATCTATCTTAAACTTAAACACATCTTGCACGGTCTGCTATGGTTTACAATCATCTGTACGATACCAATTACTTGGTAACATTCGTTTCTGTACTGATTGTTCATAGCCTATGCTCATAATAAATTTAACTTAAACATACACACATCTTGCACGGTCTGCTATGGTTTACAATCATCTGTACGATACCAATTACTTGGTAACATTCGTTTCTGTACTGATTGCTCCATAGCCTGTGCTCATAATAAATTTAACTTAAACATACACACATCTTGCACGGTCTGCTATGGTTTACAATCATCTGTACGATACCATTTACTTGGTAACATTCGTTTCTGTACTGATTGCTCCATAGCCTGTGCTCACAATGAATATTCATAATCCTTACGAAACTATAACACGGTTTCATTCATTATTAGCACTAACCATTTAATCTCAATCTGAATAAATTCCATATCGATAATCAAGTTCATCATAATCATAATTATGTGTAATACTGTTAATCAACTCAATAATTCATACTTCGTTTATTTAATATCATTACATTATTATTACAAGAACAACGTAATAAATAGTTAAACCACTATAAAAGAATATTATAGAATTCATCAACTAATTCACTACCTAGATAAATCTCATTATTCCATTACTCATTGTCATTTTCACTATCATTGTTATCATTCTCATCGCCATCGTCACTGGAGTAATCATTAAAATTTAACCAGGGATGAATCTTATCAATTGCTATAATGTTTTCGTATCGTTTGTTTCCTTTCCTAGTTAGTGGGGTGTCCTCGACTACAAACCTATCATTGGGTAAAATTTTGACGATTCGGTACGGGCCCTGAAGTTTTGGCATAAGCTTTTTAGATTTACCCTGATGCTCTTTATCAATGACCGTCCTTTCAATTCTAACTAAATCTCCTACACTATACGATTTTGGTTGCTTTCTATTTTTGTCAAACCTGACCTTCGCTTTTTCCTGAGCCTTATCGATTTTCTCTTTGGCATCGGATCTCAATTGTATCAAGTCGTCGCCACTAACTAACTGAGTCGTTTCAGAAATTGCGTCTCCCAATATGTTTTCTGATGTCGAAATTAATTTAAATCCGAATAATAATTCTGAGGGACTTTTTCCTGTCGCTTTACTGACAGTGGTATTCATTCCTAATTGAATGTCTCCTACATAATTGTCCCATGTATTTTCATTGTTGCCATGGCATTTAGTACTCAACGCATCGCATATGGTACGATTATACCTCTCGACCTGCCCATTTGCTCTAGGTGTGGCTACCGCGTTCAATATGTGTTTTATGTTTAGTTTGTCTATAAACTCCTTAAACTTCCCACTAGTAAAACATGAACCTCGATCTGTAATTAGTCTAGATGGAGTACCAAAATAACTAAAATACTCATGAAATACTTTGATTGCAGTTGAGGTTTTCGTATCTCTTACTGCGCGTATATTAACAAATTTTGTGAATGCATCTACGATCACTAAAATATACATGTTTCCCCTTCTAGAACGAATAAACGGGCCAAGATGATCCGCATGCAATGTATGGAACGGGATTTCTATCTTTGGGATAGGGTGTAATAACCCTTCTTTTTGGCCTGATGGTACTTTGTGGTGTGCACATTGTAGGCAAGACGATACATATTTCTTTGTAAATCGACGCATCTTTGGGAACCAAAACGTTGCTTTTAACCTACTCAACGTTTTGTCAAAACCAAAATGCCCTACATGGTCGTGATTCATACGCAAAACTTGCCACCTAACACCCCTCGGTACCACCCAACGAATTCCCTCATCTAAGATACGGTATACGTAACCACTTTTCAGTTGATAATTATTACGTACATCGGCAACGAATTTCGTCTCATCGTCGAGAAGAATTTCTCGAATTCGCTTTATTTCTTCGTCGTTACTTTGTACAGTCGCAATCCAATCGGTTGTTTCTGTTTGTAAAACGTCAATTACATGTGTGTCAGTATCGTCGGTGTGTTCAGTTACCGGAGCACGACTCAAGGCATCCACATGAGCCATACGTGATCCTGCTCTATATTCAATGGTACAGTCGTACTCCTGCAACTGTAGCCACCATCGTGCAATTCTGGGTATGAGATCTCGCTTGGTCAAAGTCGTTCTTAACGCATTACAATCGGTTACTATTTTAAATTGTAGACCCAACAAATACACACGGAATCGACTTAAGGAGGCAACGACAGCCAATGTCTCGAGATCGAAAGAGTGAAGCTTTTGTTCCTCTTCTGAATTTTTCCGACTATAGTAGGCTACAGTCCTCAACTGGCCATCACTACCTCGCTGCATAAGTATGCCTGCGATGCCTATCTTTGATGCATCGGTATGTAATTCAGTCTCTAACCGTGCATCAAACAAAGCTATTATTGGTCGTTCTACGAGTTTTTCCTTGAGGATATTAAAGGCAGATGTACATTCCGCGGTCCATTTCCACTCAAACTTAGATTTTAAAAGATTCGTTAACGGGCACGCTATTAATGCAAAGTTTTTGACGAATCGACGAAAAAAACTTGCAAGTCCTATAAATCGTCTCACGTCATGTACGTTTTTGGGTACAGGAAAATTGGAAATTGCATTTGTTTTTCGTGGTCCGGGACGTATGCCATCTCCAGATATACAAAATCCTAGGAAATCTATCTCCGTTTGGAAGAAATAGCACTTCTTTAATTTGAGAGTCAGCCCTGCGTTAGCTAAATGCTGGAGAACTTCTTCTAAGCGTGCCAAACCATCGTCAAACGTTTTAGCGGGAATCAGAATGTCATCCATATAAATAACAACGTATTTTAAATCAGAAAAAACTTTATTCATCACTCTTTGGAAAATTGAAGGTGCATTAGCTAATCCAAAGGGCATTCTTTTGTACTGATACTGACCATCAGGTGTTACAAAAGCCGTAGCTTCTTGTGAACTCTCTGCAATAGGAATTTGATAATACCCAGACGCAAGATCAAGACTGATGAAGAGAGAATTGCCCGATAATCTATCTAATTGATCGTCGATCAGAGGCAAAGGGTAATGTTCTTTATGAGTCTTGTTATTTAGCGCTCGGTAATCGACGCAGAGCCTTTTCTCACCCGTTTTCTTCTTTACAAGAAGTATCGGGCTCGCATAGGGTGAGTTAGACTCACAAACGATATCGGCGTCGATCATTTCCTTTACCATTGTTCGAACCAATTCACGTTCTGGATATGAGAGCCTATAAGGTCGATAAACCACCGGATTTGCGTCGTTCAATTTTATCTCCATCTGTATTATGTTAGTATACCCTAAATCAGCTAAACAAGAGGAAAAACAGCACTCATACTTCTCTAGTAGAGACTGCAACTTCAATATCTCATCATTGGATAGGTGACTACCATAATTCAGATCGGAACTCGTGTCATGACTACTAAAATCTAGCATGTTAATCTCAAAGCTTTTTTCAGATCTGTAAACTCGACTGACTAATGTATCTTTATTTAGTAAGAGTGAGTGGTCGCTAAAATTTTGTATTAGGAGTGCCCCTAAGCTATCTTCAAGAAAATATTCACCCGGTAATAAGTAAAATTCATTACCAGACTGACCTCGTAATGAACCCCGGACATAAATATATCCAGAGAAGCTTCTATCGGAATATACAGGAACCGCAGTCATTTGTTTCGGTTGAATCTCAACGTCCACTTTAAGTAACAGCCGCAATTTGTTAACCTCTTCTTTGTTAAAGATTAAAGAATTTGTAGTTTTTGTGATAATTATTCCGGGTTTTTCTGTAAAACTGTGACCAACTAATACGGGATATTTAATAATGCCGTCTTCAACTATATAAACGTCGACTGTCTCTACGATATCATTAATGTCTATTTTCACGCGTGCCGTTCCCATTGGTACGACTATATTATTGCCTAATCCTCTCATAACGGGTAACTTGTCTACTGACCAAGTAATTCCTAATGATTTTGCTACGCTATATTGTATTAATGTGCACTGACTGCCTAAATCTACGTACCCTCTAACCAAAATACCGTTAACTTTTAATAAGACCATGTATTTCTCATTACTAGTATCATCAACATCGACCTTCATAACCTTCTTTTCTGTACTAGTATCCTTACTCTTTTCGTTGGGCAGTTGCGAGCAATCGGTCGTTACGTGGCCAAGCCTCTTACAAATGTTACATCTCAGTAGCTTTCGAGGACACCTATTACTGAAATGGCCTACTTCTTTGCAGTTAAAACAAGTTATTGACGTACTAGATTGTGGCCTAGATGTCTTAGAGTCATTTGCAATTAACTGCTTCGTGTTGGAGTTTGAGTTATTTGTTGGTAAGATCTTTTTGTCTTGGCTAATTTTAAACTTATCGAATTCGCGACTTTGTTTAATCGATTGAAAGTAATTAAGAACCTCTTCAGGCTCTTGGCACTTGGCTGCTTTAGCACCAAGTCTTAAGGAACGATCCTCAATGCCATAGAGTAGGCAATCAACTGCGCGTTTTCCGAAAATCTCGCATCGATTCAGTAGGTTTAATTTTTCAAAATAATATAATTCTAACGATTCACTGTACTTCACGCGTTTATTCAACATTTCGGTAAGTAGTTCTGCGTAATCGTCACTACTAGGAAAGGAATCAATTAATTTACTTTTCCACTCGGACCACGAAAATGACATTGAAGGCAACGCTTGGTACCATGTGCGAGCGACACCCGAAAGTCTAGGCAGTGCGTAATGAATGACCTGATCATCACCCCAACGGTACAACTTTGCACATTCGTCAACTTTATTAAGCCACATATGGATTGTCTGACCTTTGACCATTGGATCAAATTCAGGGATAACATTGCCTAGCAATGGAAATTTATTGCCTTCTGGCTTCGTAGCTGACAAAGATTTTAATAATTCGTTCAAAAATAATTGAGTCTCGCTATTAGCAAACATAGATTTGCTTACCTGGGTATTTCCGCGTGATTCATTACTTACTGTGGTGTTCGATGAGCTGCTTCGGCGGGGTGGCCCCCTCCGACTTCTGCTTCGTTGCGCGCGCCGCTCAGCCTCGTAGCTACCTTTTAGACTCCGCCGACGACGACTATCAGTCCGTGTTCGGGATCTACTTCTCTCGTCCTGTTCACTCTCACTCCGCTCCATCAACAGGTTTCGGCACGAACGACGCTCAGCTTCGCAGCTACGTTTCCGGTTTCGTTGACGCCGTCTATCAGTTCGTCTTCGAGGTCGACTCCTCCTACCCTGATCACTTGAATCGCTAGGCTTGCTTCTATGGTGTCTGCGACGTTTCTTCTTGCTCAAGCATTTCGCACTGGCTTCATTATCGTGGCGACGTTTGCGTTTCTCACTCAAAATAGGTGGAGTAAAACAGGACCGGCTCCTATGAGATTGGTTACAATCACGGTCCATAGCAATATTTTCCAAAACACGCGGGTTTCTTGTATTTTTCGAAACTCGTGGGCGTTTTGTATATATCCCACTTCTGAGTTGTAAGAACTCAATCTCAACTCAGAAATAAAACGATGATTATTTTGATATTCTTCGATATAATTTTCACAATAAAAATATGAACGTTCCGTTCAACGGTTCAAATTCAAGTGTGTTCAAAATCATATTTTCCAACTAAACCAGTTGAGGGTAACTCTTCATTCATTCATCTACCTTAACATTCGATTTGTCAATTATTACTTTATAGTGGCGGGTATCTGTTAATGTTACCATTACAAGAATTTAGGACTGTTTACATGGTTATGACAACTGACAGATACCTGCCACTTTACAAACAACAACAGTTGGGTATTGAGTGAATAATACTGTTAGCTTTACATACTGATCTTATTTTTGCTTGCAGAATCTAGATTTATCAGAATTGGAATTTGGACGGGACCCAGCTATTAACGTTTCTCTTGCGGAAGAGAAAGAAAATGTGCCCACAAATAATATTGAAAATCACATAACTGTAAACGAAAATGTGCCCCCGAATAGTGGTGAAATTGAACAAGAAATGCAGAGTGGGGTATGTTTCTTTAAAACATTTATGTAAAGTCACTAAATTGTTTTCTTTAAAAAAAATAAATTAAGTGGAAAGAGTGACATTTAACAGTGTTTTTAAAAAGTTTTCAAAATAAATGTAGCTAAACCAAAGTTACATAAATATTAAATGTTTACTAATTATGTAACTCATCAAATAGGAATACCTAAATAATCTATACTAACTATTATCCTTTTGTTGGGCCTTTGGTGTTGATTTGTAAGTACTTCACTCTCTGGTACTTACATATCAACATAATAATAATATCCTCTTAATTTATTTTGAACCATTTTTATTTCTACTGTTTATTTCTCCAAACGCACTAGATTCAAATAGTTATATTTCATATCATTTTTTTTTCAGTTACTTGAAAGTATATTACTAAAATCACTCATGATGATCAGTCTTTCATATCAGACTTTGGAATCATATTATATCAACGAGTACCTAGCACTAAGAAAACCGCTAGCTTATACTCTGGTAAGGTTTGCCATATAATTAAATATATGTAATTTAAGCTACATTTTGTAAATTTTATGTTAATAATTGTATTGTGGTTTCTGATTTTTAGTTGAACATTGACTTTGAGGTGGCCTATGGAGACCAAACAAAAAATTTATTTGAATATTTTCCCGTGGCAAAAATTAAAATCTTAGAGTTGTTAAGAAAGAGAAAATCAAAAGATAACATCACCCAGGAACTAATTTCTGTAGCTGACTGTAAGTATATTTTCTTTACTTATTTAGCCTATAAATTATACATCCAACCGTTGGGCATTAACCTTCTTACATGGGTTTTGAGCCAGAAAACAGGCATATATCTCTATAAATGTGTTCTCCGGTATACAGAAGTGTACCTATACTATGGTTTTTGCCACTTAAACCAAATAATAATTTTAAAATTCTACACCACACATAAGTTTGTAGAAACACATTGGTGTGAACCCTAGGTCTATTGAAATCCCTATCGAATACGACCCTCTGTTTGATAGGCGAAAGTTACGTGTTCTGCCAAACTACTGAAGCTATTTATCTATATTAAAGTCTCTCATAAAAAATGAATTGGAAAATGGATTATCTAAATTTTATTTTTTATTTCAGCACCTAAAGAAGAAGATAAAAATCTTGCAGCATTTTTGGCAATTCCCCATCTTTTGAACACTACACCTATTAACCGGAAGAGGAAACAAAAACAATCTAGCTGTAGCTGGAAACCATCTAAGGTAGAAACGCGGGATGCTTTCATCAAACGTTTAAGATCTGACGCTGGTCAATCGGTCAGTCTATTGAACTTCGGCTAAAAATAAGTCTTAAGTAATAAGTTTTTTTTTATGTTATGTAGGAAATATTATTATATCATATTAATAAAATTCTAATAAAGTATGGTTGTGATACATAAGTAATTTGTGAAGTCATTAATACACTTTTAATAAAATATAGTTGTTTGATTGCTATACTATTTGTACCTATTTGCTAAGTTTAAGCCTTTGTACTAAACCGTTGTCATATGAACTACCTTTATTCGTCAATCCAAGTCGGTGTCTATTGCGCATCCACAAAATAACTACCTAATTTATTGTAATGTTTATTATTTACAATAATTTACTTGTGGATGTACAACATACAGTGACTTGCATTGACGAATACTGGTAGTTCGTATGACAAAGGCTTATGTCTACGACGAATATGAGGTTAGTTGAAGTAATTAGTTTATCACGGTTACTTCATGCAAGATCGTAGTTGAAACAACTTATGGATTTCATTGATTTTATAATGTCGCATAGACGTATCATGCAACATCTTAGTTGAAACAACCTATGAACTTGATTGATTTTATAATTTCGCACAGACGTATCATGCAAGATCTTAGTTGAAACAACTTATGAACTTGATTGATTTTATAATGTCGCACAGACGTATCATGCAACATCTTAGTTGAATCGACAAGTTAATATTGTTGGTGAGACAATGTCTCATTCTTAAACTAACCAACATTTGAGCTAAATTGAATAACTACCCGTAATTACGGCAATTCATTACTTAGTACATGGAACTATGATAATTTAACAAAGGTTTCATAGCTGCAGAAAGCAAGATCTTGGTAGGCTCGTATGGAATCAAGATGCGTTATCAAATTAAACAAGATGTTTATTATAGCAAACAAATTTTTTTTTCAGTGAGTACATCAGCAATAAGCATAAAGTTTAGTCTTCCCTTAGTTCTGTTTTGTTGCATAAGTTAAAATAGTATATTATTATCTACCAAATAGGTACTAAACATTTCTGTCTCTAATTCTCGATGTCTTAGACTCGAGTTACTTATTTCTTTCGAAATTATTGCACTTAATAAATAATGGATGTTCATAAGTTAAATAACGTTTTTGAAGTTCTAAGATCGTAGCTTATAGAAATGGTAATGAGATTACTAATTTGCAAATAGGTACCCTGTACCTTCACTTTCTTGGGGGAGCTAACCTCATGACTTTTAATTGCACTGCTGCGCGTTGTACGTAGGTTATAAAATGTCTTATGAGGCTTATGCTCTGTGTATGGCAATTTCCCTATAGACGTGATTCTACCACTTGGACTTCCACATCCACATAGATAACTGGCGAAAAGTGTGGACATCACATTTTACATTATGCCTCGTTGGCCAAGTGGTCGCAAGTGCGACTGCCAGGCATGGGGTCTCCGGTTCGATTCCCGAGTCGGGCAAAGTACTACTGGGTTTTAAATAAAATCTCAGTAGTAGCACTGAGTATGGAATTGTGCCCGACATGCATGCATATGGCAATAGGCTCACCCCCTATTACATAGGACTCATAACATAAATAGTGAAAAGTGGGTGTTACATTGTACAGTGGCATAATGTGCACCTCTGTCTACCCCTTCGGGGATAAAAGGTGTGATTTTATACTATGTTATGTTTAGTTGTCTACTCAACATATTACCTAATTCAGGGAATGGAAGCCTCAAGGGAAAACGTAGAAAATAGTGGAATAAAGAGAACGTTCGTTTAGATTTTCAGGTGTAATTCAAGAGGTATTTAGCGGCGCTGTGTTGTATCAATTTTTAGTGAGCGGTTGGATAATCTGCACTACAGCTTACAGGACGGTCAATGTAAGTTGCGCCTGAATACTGAAAGGCTATGCAATTTTAAGTTGTGGTTTAGTTTCTGTATGTCTTTGTATGTTAAATTTTAATCTTAATGAGCTACTAGTCTTTATAGGTATGTATAGCCAACGAAAATAAAGTTTTACTACCTTGATGTTGGAGTTTAGAGTTCATTTTATACATTAGTAAATAATATTAGGATAAAAATGGAATGGACTGCCTCGTTGGCCGAGTAGTCGCAAGTGCGATTGCCGGACAAGGGGTCTCGGGTTCGATTCCCAGGTCGGGCAAAGTATTACGGGGTTTTTGAAAATCTCAGTAGTAGCACGGAGTCTGGAAATGTGCCCGGTATATGGCAATAGGCTCACCCCCTATTACATGGGACTCATAACATAAATTGTGAAAAGCGGGTGTTCCATTGTGGCATTAAGTGCCGTACTGTGCACCTCTGCCTACCCCTTCGGGGATAAAAAGGCGTGATGTTATGTGTGTTATGTGTAAAAATAGAATTCCCCACCTGGGGATAGCTAAAGAAAGTATGGAACTGTTGTATGTTCTCTTGCAGATAGACCCCATGTCAGTGGAATTTGTATCAATGTTGATGTACATGTGCTGCATTCTCACAGAATTATTCATATTTTGTTTTTATGGGAATGAAGTTACACATGAGGTGAGTGCCTACCTACCCATATACCTAACCTGTTTTTTTTTGAGGTGGGAACTTCATCCAATTACTTCTCCGCCTTGGGTGTGCGAGACAGAATATCTGACTGTTCATTTGATTAAGGTTGTGATTTGATTATAGGACTTCTTAGAAATTAACACACGTCTTTGCAGTATGATGGTTTATTCGGTACTACTCTAATGAACAAGACAGATGATCAACGATTTATAGCAAACATACCGCCCACCAAAAGGGATTTAATTCCTTTTACAATATAATAATAACCAATATTCACTAACAATAAATCATGCAGACATTATGTTCATCAAATAATAATTAAACAAGTAACTAACAGATAAACAATATGCCGTTCAACAATAGACTACAACATAAGTTTTACATCACAAAACAAATTGAGTGTCTTTCTTACGACTATAACTATGCCTGCATTTATCTATTACAGTAATAATGTGAAGTTAACAAAACCTTGATTGAAATAATTAACATTATACATACAATTATGTATTACACTAACTTGAATAAATTATAAAATATTATCTTTAACAAAATTAGACCCTACCAATTTGTCTATTACTCGTATGAGTCGAAATTAAGAGAAAAACAACATTAAAACATTAAACAAAATGATTACTTATAATGTACTACACATGCAATTAATTACTACTATCGATTGGTAGAAAACATAATTTGGAAATTGATCTTCTTACAGTATTCGTACCAGTTTTAACGCTATAGACCCTAGTGATTCCATCCGGTCCTGGGTGTTTGTCCACAATCCGTCCTAACGGCCACTTGCCAGGTGGTAATCCTTTGTTTTGATAAGAACAATCTGGCCTCTGTCAAATTCTTCTTGTATTTTTTGCCACTTTGGTCTTTGCTGAAGCCTGGAGAGGTACTCGCTCTGCCAGCGATCCCAAAAGTTCGACAATATCCGTTGACAATGTTGCCACCGTGATAAACTTGATTGGGAGACATCCTTTAGGCTCGGTGAGGGTATAGTAATTGGAGATTCTCCAATGAGGAAATGGCCAGGTGTAAGTACATCCAAGTTGTTCAAGTCTGACTCAATAATTGGGCAAAGAGGACGGGAATTAAGGCATGCTTCCACTTGACATAAAACGGTAGTCATCTCTTCGAATGTCAAACTCGTATTCATTATGCGTTTGAGGTGGAATTTCATAGATTTCACACCCGCCTCCCACAGGCCTCCAAAATTTGGGCTATAGGCAGGTATGAAATGCCACTGAGTGCCGTCAGCCCAGCAGACTGGATATCTGATCTCCAAATTCAAAGTTTGCCTCCTTGAACGCCTCAGCAAGTAATTTATTCGCTCCTACGAAATTTCTTCCCTGGTCACTCCATAAATCACTACATCTTCCGCGACGTGATACAAAGCGCCGATAGGCTGCGATGAAGGCTTCCGAAGACAGATCTCCTACCAGCTCTAAATGAACTGCCCTTGTCGACATGCATATGAAGATGGAGATGTACGACTTCTTGGTTTTTGCACCTCTACCTTTGGACATAAGAACATCATAAGGCCCGGCAAAATCAACACCACTGTGTAGAAATGGCCGTGCTGGGGTCACTCGCACCTTGGGTAACTCGCCCATTTGTTGTGTCCGAGATCTTGCATTCAGTTTGGCACAGACAAAGCATTTATGAATGTATGTCTTTACTAAACCCTTCACTTTCAGAATCCAGTATCTTGACCTCAGGTAATTTAGCATTAAATGTACTCCTCCGTGCAGCGTCTTTTTGTGAGCATCAGCTACTAGCAAGAAGGTAAGTGGATTTTTGTCATCTAAGACTATAGGATGCAGACGGTCGAGATCTAAATAGTTGGCGTTTTGTAATCGACCGCCCACCCTGAGTATCATTTTAGTATCCAGGTAAGGGTTTAGGGTCTTCAAACGACTTGTATTTCTTACTTTGTTCTTCTCTTTCAAGTCTCTGATGTCTTCGTGGAATTTAACATCTTGTACTATTTTTATGCAGGTCTGTAGCGAGTTTTCGAGTTCTTCCGTGGTGACCGGTATATCTACAGATTGATTTTGTCTTAGGTTCAGAAATCTTTTAGCGTACGTGATAGTTTCCAGTAATTCAGGTAAGTTTTTGAAACATTCCATTTTTTGGTACACGGAATTTTCTTCGCTTTCTCTTGTAAGGTAAGTATTAATAGTTTTTTTACTTTCTAGGTCTGTTTCTTCGTCAATTAATGTTTCCATGTGTATTTTTTCTTGTTTCAGATGTTCCGGACCGTGCCACCAGAGTGCGTATTTTCTCAATTCAAAGGCCAACATTCCTCGCGATGCGACATCAGCTGGATTTTGTTGTGACGGTATATGGTACCATTTGTTTCCAATATTGTCTAGAATGGTTATTACTCTATTTCTTACGAATATGTGCCATCTATTTGGATCTCCTCGTAGCCATGACAACACTATCGTAGAATCAGTCCAACAAAATATCTGACTCTTTGGGATGCGTGTCGCTTCACTTA